CTGCTGGCTTTGCTGGTGGGTGCTGGGGCTGTTGGCTTGCACAGGAATTGCATGGGAGGGCATTTGGGATTAGTAACTCACAATGGTTCTTTCTTCTGTTGTATCTTGCTGTCAGGTTTCTTGAGACAAATGTTGAGGTGTTAAATGAACTTTAAGAAGCCCATGAGTAATAGAGCCCAGTGACCCATGGAAGTGCTCCATGGTGTCATCCATGGCAGGCCTGGTGACCAGCAAGGCTCAGAATTCACTGGAAACTCTCATTCCAAAATGTTTCCACGTGACTTTGGCTTTGTCCCAAGAGGTTTAAGTAGAGCCCTGGAATATGAATAGCAGCTGTGAGAAGAAAGAGCTAGAACATTCCTTATTTAGGTAATTTCCTAATAACCTCCCAGTTCCCTAAAAATAGTGCAGGATAAAATGCTCCACCATACCAGACTGGCGCTGAGCTGGGAAATGGGAGTTGCTGGGTAATCTAAAACTCACTCTATTGTGTCTCTCTCTGACATCAGGGAAGCATTTCCTATTTTTAGCTTGAATTTGAAGTTGTTGAAGTGTCTTAAGATTCCTGGGTATGTAGATATTCATTATTTTGAACTGAAAGTGCACTCCAATATTTCAAATAACAGTGGAAACCTCCACGTTCCTCTAGATCAACATTGAATATATATGTGGGGTGAAAGTAAAAAATACAGCTCTAAAATTATTTAATCAATATGTAACATCAAAAAAGGCCATGTTTAACTTCCTTTATCAAATTTTCCAGGTACCTTACATTGTTTACAGAGTGTCTGTTGTAGGCTGAATCTGTTCCAAGAGCTCTGTTTACTCTCTCTGATCTTTTCCAGTTCGGTTCCTGCCCAGTGCTTAAGGCAATTGCTTCCTGCTGGAGGAGGACCTTCCCCCTGTGGAGGCTCTGCCTCCAGTGCCACCATCTCCTCACCTCTCCAATGCCATCATATTGTTCTATCTGGATGCCACCAGAAGCGCTGCACAGTCTGGTTTTGTTTCTGCTTCCAAGCCTCACATGTAGTGACAGCAGAGCTGCAGTCAGTCTGTGCCTGTCCCAGCAGCAGCTTTTGGTGGCAAACACTGCCCAGGGAAGGCTGTTCACTCACAGGTCTAGTCAGGCTGCAGAGCAGGACCTTTGTCCCCTTGCTTTTCGTGTGCTCTGGGGGCAGTGAGCTAATGATCTCATATTTGTTTGGCACCGGGAATAACTAGTGATCACAGATCTGCAGGAGACAAAAGAATGTCTGATCTGTGGGAGGAAAGTTTAAAGGCCAAAAGCAGAAAATGGAGATGTTTGTGTGACCACACCCCTTGTACACAGCTGTGCTTGGTGGGGTAGGGTCACCTCAACAAATGAGGAAAGAGAACAAAGTAGGGATCAGATGAAGCCATGCTGGGGTTGAATGAGGTTTTATCACAAGCTCCAGTCAGCTTGGATAAGTAATGAAACCAAGAAAGGATCTGATGCTGTCAGCATAATGCTCAGCCCTGCAAGAAATGCTCTCTAGCAGAGAAAAGTGCACCTTTCTGGGTATTGCTTAGGGCTCTGCAGGTTCTGGGGATAATCTCATCTGTTCAATAGAAGGAACATGAGTATTTAACCTCATGATTCAGCATAAGAAATGTGGGTCAACAAATATTTTAGTTTTTTTTCTTTTTCTTTGGCAGACCAGGGGCTACATAGGCAGTGCCCCAAACAGTGACCTCCCAAGGGCTGAGGGATGTGGTGGCTTTCAGTGACAGCTGAGTGTGTCCTGCAGTCTGGGCCTTTGCTTCTCCTCTCCCTGGCTGCAGTGTGCTCTACACTGATCATGTTCTGTGTGTACTGAACCATTTGCTCTTATTTCTTGGAAAACCAGAATCACTTTGTTACCTGTGTACCCTGCAACACACATCTTGCCAGAACCTGTCCAGCTACATATTCATATTTCAATTTTAAACAAAATGTATCCTAACAAAACACACATCTTTTATAATGCTCAAGCTGTACTTCTTCCTCACTTGATTTTGAATATTCAAGCGACACCTAATTTATCTCCATTTTTCAGGTGCTTAAAGCTTTTTTGTATTGGTGCTTCAGGAGACTGAAAATCCACTTTCCTTTTGCTTTAGCCACATTTACCTACTTCTGCAGATTTCAAATGTTTATTTTACTAACTGTGGCTTATCCTGTTTTACAGGAGGTTTTAAAAAACATGTGAGGTTCCTGTTTGCTAAAAAAAAAAAAAAATAGATGTTTCAGCCAAACCTGAGATCCCTTCCTGGGCAGGGCATCCGTTTGGTTTGGTGGCTGTGCAGTGGTGATGTGTTCCTGCTCCCTGCCGGGGCCTGGGGCTCTGCACTGGGTGCCTGCAGCACCAAGGGGAGATGCTGCTTTCATTTTTAGTGGGATTAACTCTATAGCAACTTTTTATTTTTTTTTATTTTTTTATTTTTAAATTTTTTAAAATTTTTAATTTTTTTTATTTTTTTTATATTTTTGTTTTTGCAACAAAGGATCAAGGTTCCTCAAGATTCAAGAGATTTAAGTAGTAAAGGTGATGTCATTTTTCTTTTTATATGCCATTCCTATTTTTACTTGTTGTTTGACCCTTTCAACCCTTTCCTGTGTCTCTTCTCAGGACTGTATGTCCCCTCATCAGGTTCCAGTACATCCTTGCTGCAAATCTGCTGTTGCAGAGTCAGGGTAAACTTCTGGGTCTTTGGTGGGAAATTCCTTTGGCACTAGGAAAGGTAAATTCATTTCTGCTCCTGGAAGGACAGCAAGGGTTGGCTGTGCAATCCCTTCACACCTGAAAGGATCTTAAACCTCTTGGAACTGGGGGAAGTGGGGCATAAACAGAGGCAGTAAGTGGAGAGGACAGGCACAACAAAGGTCAGATGTGGGAGCTCGAAGGGAGCCTGTCCAGTGTGATTCAGGGCTGGCTGACAGGATGGGCTGGAGACTTTGGAAGCAAATAAAGGTCATTTGGATCAGCCTGCGTGAGTTGGAAAGGGCTGTCAGGTCTGATGAAGGGGGCTTTAACTTGATTTTTCTGTAAATATTTCTTCTGCCTTCAATTTACTCCCATTTTCCCAGGCCCTGCTCTGAAGGGTGCAGCTTAGGTCATGCCCCCCTGGGTCTGATTGCCCAGTCACAGGCAGCTCTGGAGTAGAGGTATTTCCAGGGAAATAAAGTTTGAAGGACATACATTTCAGGCCACAGGCCTTGGGAATGCCTTTAACTCCTCATAGCAGGTTTTAGATTAATATTTAGATACAGGAGCATTTTCAATATCATGTTGATACAATCAGTTAGCAAACAATGACTTTTCTTTTGAATTTCCCGTGGGAGAAGTCTTGATTTAGGGGTCATTTTTAGCTTCCCTTATACACATCTGGTCACCCTGTGCTGTCCCTGGGTTTGGGCTGCTCCTGCTTCCCCACAGCCTGGCACCAGCTCCCTGAGCAGCACTTGCAGGGCAGGAGTCAGACAGGAGCCCCAGAGGGGGAAGGGTTGGGGAGAGGCAGTGCTGGAGATGAAGCTGGAGAAGTTTTGCAGAACTGTGAGAAGCAAACTCTGATGAGGGGTTAGGACTGGCAGTAGGGGCCAGTGTATTTACCTCCTATCAGTCCTGCCAGCCTTTCCTGCCATAGAAAAGCCATGAGAATAATGGGTCACAAAATGAGAGTGGATATAAAGGGCACTGCTAAAATCTGAGATCCCTGCTATAAGCAGAAACATGGGGTAAATTCCTGGGTGGGGTGAGCATGCTCCCAGAGTAGGCAAATACCAAATTCAGTGGTGCACTACAAACTTCTGACCTAGACCACTTTTTTTTTCTTTCCTGGACCCAAATCTTACCTCCAGTGTAACAGCAGGAGTTCACAAGCAAGTCACACCAATTAGGCATCCAGCAGAATTTGTTATTAGTGTTGATCTGTTCCCAAATACAGATACTGCTGAGAAACACAGAACCTCCAGTGAGAAATGTAGAGCCTAGGCTGCTGTCAGGGCAGGGGAAGCTGAACATGGGCTTGTGTTGGTTTATTTAAAGAATGGCAGTGCAGGAGGGAGGAATCTCTGCCAGTGCTCACTGGCACATGCTGGGATTTTTATTACAAAGCTCAAACAGAGGGTTGGAGCTGAGGAGGGCTGCTTGCAGCTCTCTGTTTCATCAGCACCTTGTTCTGAAGGGAGAGCCCTTTCTTCAGGCATCTCCCACTGGTTCCAAACACGGCCTCATGTGCAGCAGCAGATGCACAGTGCAGGTCTGCCAGCATCCCTGGGCACCACTCTGGGAGAGGCCAGCCAGGAGCCTCCTGGAAATCTCCCTGAGGGCTGGGTGAGTGTTTCTGCAGGCTGACACATCAGGATAGCAGAACTCTCTTTTCTCACAGCAAGTAATTTTGAAATACTTGATACCATATCTCACTCTGCCTCTTTTTTTATTTTGTACCACAAACTGTGTTATGGTGGAGTAACCTAAGGGTAAAATCTTGCCATTACATGGTACAATTCTTTTTAAGAAAAAAGGAAAAAAACCACAAACTGAAACCTCAAAAGCTTAAGTGAGAAGGGGGGGAAAAACGACCAAAAAGATCAACTTTCTTTAGTTTAAAACCCATATCCCCAAAGTCAGTGGCAGCCCTGCCCTCTAGTGCTGTTGCAAGTGAGGTGTTGGTGCACAGTTCTCAGTCCAGGCCTGGGCTCACCTGAGTATTCTTTAAGGCAAATTAGAGTGGGGATTTTTGTGGGGTTCTTTGGGTTTTATTTTGTACTTCCTGTTGGTTAATTTTTTAGGGTGATGGTGCTGTTTATAGTATTTTCATAGGATTTCACTGCAAGACAACCAAAATCAACCTCATACTTTGACGGATGACAGGCTCTATAAAATCCCTGTGAAGCACTTTGAGCATGTAAAATAACAATTATGATAAAAATTTCAGTGAGTTGCAGAGGAGAAGGGGTGTTTATGTGATTCATGACTAACTGGAGCTTTCCTCCCCAGCATTGAAGGCGAGTACGTTCCCGTGGCAGGCGACGAGGTCACCTACAAGATGTGCACCATCCCTCCCAAGAACGAGAAGCTGCAGGCAGTGGAGGTGGTGATCACTCACCTGGCCCCTGGCACCAAGCACGAGACGTGGTCGGGGCACGTCATCAGCTCCTGAGGTGTCCCCTGGAACGTGGCTGTTGGGCTCTGCTCAACAACTGGCTGCAGGACCTGGCTGAAGAATATTGTGTGTGAGGAAATACTGCATTGTCAATAAAACAGGCCAAAATTACCGTTTTTTACAGCTGGCCTGATTTAAAAAAAAAAAAAAAAAAAAAAAAAAGGCAATTCAGAAGCTAATGAAAAAAATCTAGCATAATGTGTTTACAAGAAATGTATCTAAAGAGACCTAGTTTGTGTGCTTGGTGGAGGAGGGGAGGTTTGGGTTTTCTTTTGTCTTGTGAACCGATTCCAGGAAATGCCCAGGGGAGGGGGGGAGAGGTTTCAAGGAGAGCTCTTCTAGTGCAGATGGTCAAGCACAACTCTGAGTCCTGTGTTCCCTTGGGCTGCTCTTCTAGGGCTGCAGGACCTTTATTTCTGATAACAGTGCCTGAATGCCCTGGCCTGACAGACAGAGGTGTTCATTGCTGATTTGTTTTCCTCATGGAAGGAAGTTCACAAACAGAGCAGCTGCCACAGGGTGGAAAATCTCCGGCAGGTGATTGTGCTCCAGTGCCCATCAGGTGCACCACCACAAATGGTGGGGCTGCACAGGTGTGGAAACTGTGTTGTACTGGTAAAGCTGGGGTTGTTTGTGAATTTACTTAGGTGCCTTGATGGTTGATTAGCAACAGATTTTATAGGCCAGTATTAAAAAAAAACAAACAAAAAAACAAACAAAACAATCCATCCCAAATTTGAATTTGCTTCAAGGTAAGTGGTAGAATACTGTAGAGCTGTAGTGGATACTTCATAGCCTCTGACTGTGTCTGAATTTTGACAAGGCTGAAGATTTGCCTTCTAGACTGCATCCAGCTGGCTGCCATGGTGTGCCACTGGGCAGGCAGGACCCTGCACTGCTGCACAGCAGGTGTGTGCTGCCCATCTGCTGTGTATTAAATACTGTGTGAGTTACTCAACAGGCTCAGCTGTCTTGAAGTAGATTCTGCATCTGTTTCCCTGGCAAACTTGCTTGGTAGGATGTGATAGGGCCGCCCTTCCCCAGACTCTTCATGCTGTTGTAGTGCTGCTGCTAAATTGGTTTTGTTCCTGTTTGCCTTCCACATATTTTTTTTTTTTTTTTCAAATGAAGCATTTTTCTCTGTTATGTTTCTAACAGTGGATTTTTATTGACTTTGCAAATAAAAGAAAAAAAAAAAAGGCACAACTCTTGTTAGTTGTATAGAACAGTGTAGCTTCAGTTGTGTATTTGGAGCTTCACCAAGAGGTGCTCGCTGTCAGGACCTGTCCTGAGCCTTTCACAGCAGCTGGTCTGTTCCCAGGTGTGATGTGGTGACAGCACAGGGGTGTGGGGTCAGGAACTGCTGTGCTGGCTTGTTTCCCTTAGCTGTACCTGTGTTACACCATGGTGTCGTGGGGTTTGGGTTTGGTTTTGTTTTTTATGACCCATAAGCCTTGGTAGCGGTGGGTTTATCACTGTGCAGCTTGTTGGAGTATCAGCCCCTGCTTTCTTTACAATAAATGAAACCATTTCAGTGCTTTAATGTGTTTCCAGTCTGCTCCCTGGGTAGCTGGTGCTGAAGAGGATCAGCTTTGAGGGAGTGCAGGTGCCTGCACACGGACCCCTGGCTGGTGACATTTAGAAGTTTAAGGAAATATTTTCACATCCACTGACTGCAGTTACCAGAGTAAGGCCAGGACACGTCAGAGGAGGCTCCCAAGACAGAGCAGCCAGAAATGTTGTGTATGGGGCTGAAAACAAACCTGGCTTTGGTCCTGCACAGGGTATTTTGCCCCAGTAACTTTGTGCCAGTAGAGCAGGCAGCCCTGCAGTGAAATAACCAAGTCATCAGGTGCAGGCCCTGAGTAGACACAGCCCAGCAGCTCGTACCCTGTCTGTCCCTGAAGAGCATTCCTGCACCAGGGATGGCTCTGCTCCTAAGTCAGCTCCCATTAAAGCAGGAATTAGCTAGGGGAGGTGTGCTAGAAGACAAAAGTTTTGGTGCATGAGGTGCATTGCAGCTCCCCCCCCTTTTTTTGTAAACTCTTTTAGGGATTTTGGGTGGTACACAAAGATTCTATTCTCTGCCTTTTTACTGTGCAAGTATCCCATGGAACAGGCAAGATTCAAATTACTCATTTCTTTCCACAGAAGGCAGCATGCAACAGGTTTGCTTTAAGTATTTTATTTACCAAGATGAAAAACTGAAACAGTATTTTTTCATGATAAAATCAGATTTTATTCTCCTTTAGTAAATCAAACCGTTCATACTCAAGATTACTTTCCTAATACCAGGTGAGAAAAGTAATATTAACAATTACACAGAGTGTCAGGCATTGACTTGAATTTTAATAGAAACATAATTTAGGTAATTTTTGTAGTGCGAAAAATCTCACCTACCCTTAACCAGGAATCTCAGAAAATGATCACAAAGTGACAGAAATATATTTTCCTAATGTGCTGAAGTTATTTTAAATAATTTTTACAAATTATTTTTTTAGATTTGGTATGCAAAGGGTGTAGGTACCATGACCTGACTGTGCCTTGGCACCACATCCATCCCTCCCCGAGAAGGGAACTTTGGCACCAGCTGGTCCAGCATTCCCAGGGATGGCAGTCAGGGACTTCTGGTTCAGTACCATCTTCCCAACCCAAGGAAGAAATAAAACCTTTCCCTTCTACTCATCTTCCAGTTTTAGACAAGAAAATCCCAACTTGTCTTATAATTCAAGTTAATTAATTTAGCACAAGGTAAGTATTTAAAAAAAACAACTGCATCTTTTAAAAAACAGCCTCAAGATAAAAAACCAGGGATTAAGCCTTGGAGGCAAATTTTGAGACTGTGAATCAACTAGAGGCAGATTATGCTTCTCCTTCCCTCCCTAAATTATAATTAATTAGTTAAGGAAGTTTACAGGTAACTTAAAAAGCAAAATATAACCCAACCCAAATCCCACAATCAAGTAAAAAGAAAACAATTTATGTGATTGGAAGCTGAAAGGATGGTATTAAATGAGCTCTGCTGTGCTTCCCCAGTCAGCAAGGGGTCTTCAATTAAAATATTTCCCTTCACTAATGACTGACCTGCAAAGCACCTGCTATTCATGACCAATTACAAAAAAACAATACAGAAGAAAGATGATGTTTCAAGTTTTAACCGCCTTGGAAGTGTGAATTCTTCAAGTCTTTTATTTAAAAAACAGCTCTTCACAGATTCTCCTTGTATCCTGTGGGGATGTGACACTGTGGCCTTCTGTTCTGGAGTCTGTGAAAATTTCATAGTCATTCCCTCCCTGGAAGCAGAAGAGGATTTAATTTTATTTAACATAAAGCATACACACAAAAAAGGACACATGAAGGGAAACAGAGAAATAATGGACTTTTTCCAAGGGCCTGTAGTGATTAGGCTCAGTGAACAAGAGCACTGCCCCTGTATGAGCATAGGTCCCCCAAATCCATAGCTTCATTCCCCAATTTCTGTTTGCCAAAACTGCTTTCATGGGGCTCAGCATCTTAGCATTGCAACTCTCTGGAAATGCTGCACTGCCACTTAGAGGGTTTAAAATGAACTGTCTGTAAGCTCCGTGCCAGAGGGACATGTGATTACTTTTGCAGCTGATGTCAGTGGAGAAAAACTTTCATTTCAAGGTTGTCTTTTTCTTATAAAATTTCACCTTTTAAAATTTATGAAGTCCTGTGTGATTTAAGAGTTTTATAACTGTGAGTTCCATTAAAACTAAGCCTTTCCTTATAAAATTTAGCCTGACACTGTCCCTTGGCCATATTCAGACAGCTTTGATTTCAATCAAGTCCTTGTGCTTGCCAGTGCCCTCACAAGCTCTTGCCAGGTCTCTGTTCAGGATTTTTAAAAGGCTCTGAATTGCCCTGCAGAGCTCTGCCCCATGATGAGGGACAAGGGTCTCTGCTCAGTTCCCCAGGTGGAGACAGACACAGTAGTGAGCAAAGGCACAGTGTTAAATAAGACAGGAAATAAATATGTTTAATGAACAGCAGCCAACAAGAAGAATCAATCTACACTGACCAAGCAGGACAATCAGTTCCACACAGTCATGTCACCTAGGTGTTTAACAGAATTACAGAAGTTCAATTTTAAAACAAGCTCTATTAAGGCAGTAACCCTGTGTCCACCTCAGGAAACAGAAGGGAAACGTCCCAGCTGCAGCCAGCTAAACACGGACACACAATTATATCCTGATTGCAGCTCTTGTCAGGATTAAGGTTATAAGGTTAAAACCTACAGTCCTTGAGGTTTAATTACAGCAGCTCTCAAATTAATTTATCAAACAAATGTACTCACTGGCATGGTCTTGTCTCCGAAGAAATAAATAGTCTTGTATCCATCCTTGGCAACAATTCCTAAGCAGTACCTTTTATCCCAGCCATTTGGGAACACATCGATGCTTATCTGCCCTCCTAGGAGAGAGAGGAACCAAGACTTGTTCCATTTTAACAATGTATTTCTGAAGGGAGAGGAAGTGGAAAAACCTACACTTGGTAAGATTTTAGGCAGAGGGAGCTTTGAAGAAGACAAAGAAATGTTGTGAGACCCTGGAGTTAAGTCCTGCAAGTACAGAAAGTGTTTTATAGACATATAGCTGTGATTCAGAGATTATTTATCCATTCGACAAAGTCTGAGCATTTTCCCAAATACTCACTGCTATCCAAATGAACCTTTTAAAAAGAATTATATTTAACCTCTTCCTTTTAGAAAGAAAGGACAGATGAACACAGCCACTGATAAATGTACGGCCATAAAATCGTAGACAAAAGACTCTCTAAGGCTTTCAGAGTAGGAAAGGGAAGAAATCAGCCCTTTCAGCACAGCCTAACAGGACAAGAGCTGCTCCAATTCTGAGCCCTTGGCCTTCACCAGTAAGGTATTGGTGCATGATTCCCAGCTGAAGCAGGTGTCCAAAAGCTTTTTATTTACAACATAAAGGAGAGAGGACAGCTGCATTGCAGTTCACTTTTGCCTTAGTGCTTTGGCACTAATGCCAGCCTTACTTTGCAATTCTGAAAAAGTAAAAGGCAGGAGTGTGGTAATACATTAGGAGAGGGTAAAAAAGAAAAACATGCATCAAAAATTATTCCCCCTTATTATATTTTTTTTCCTTAAGCTTGCACTTGCTTTTGGATTCTTTCCTTCCTCCCACACAATGCAGGTATAGCTGAAGAACCAAGGGCAACTGCACAGCGTTGAGGGTGTAGTTCTGATCAAAACTGATTCACAGAAACAACTCTGACTAATCCAAAGCATCTAATATGCTTCAGAATGAGCAGAATCAGTCACACAACTGACATTAAAGGACAATGAACTGATGACAAGAAATTAAGTTTTCTTTGTTGATGGATTTCAATTAAAATGTCCCAATAAAAGCCTGAGAGGAAAAAGTCTCAGTCTTGCCTGCCACCACCCCCAGAAAGAGCTGTCACACAAATGAGATGGGATGTCACAACCATAAGAGAGTATGACTTAAATGAAATTTAAATTAATTGATGTTTTAAATGACATTCCTTTAAAATATTACCTATAGAAAATGTGAGGCCTTTGCCTGCAAATTCTCTTTGTAGATCAGCTACAAATTTCTCTCTTATATGCTCCTTCTGTTAAGAAAATAAGAAAACAAAACCAAACATCAGTTATATGCTCTGTTGATCTACCAATGAAAAGATAACCTAAAAACAAGATAACCTCTTAAAAAGAATGGTTTTATTGGCTTGATTGGACTCAGGCTGGTTATACTATAGAGGGTAGGGTTTTACCCAGGACAGTTTTTAGAAGCCTCATGTATAGAAGCAGGATGTTCAGTATCCTGGGTATTGGGTTAAAAACACGAGCCAAACCCACCCTTCTGCAAGTAATCTTTGCTATTCCAACCAAAAAAAAACCCACTGTATATTCCCTGACGTCTGAATGAGGTTATTAGTTAAACCACATGGAAAGGATTAAAATGAAATGACACAAATTATAGAAGTTTTTTAAAAATCATAACCTGGCCATAACTGCCTCCTCCAGGAGAGCTGTGTACTTTTCAGGAGTTGTAACTCACTTTATCAAATTCACAGAACTCAAGTCTTTCTTCCTGGCTGCAGCTTCTTCCAATCGGGGACACATTTAACATCCCGTTTCGGAACTCAATGAAGGTGCCTCTGCAAGGGAATCGATGAACAAGACAGAAGATAGGTGAGAAAATTGCTCAAAACACTAAATATCACAATACATTTCCATTGAATTCAAAAGGCAGTGGGAATCAGCTGTCTCACTGTATGCACACAGAACTCTGGCACCAGTAAGTCTTTTAGACTTTGAATCTGGCAATCACTACATCATCCTTACTGATTTTTAAAAGTACGATTTGGTTTAACAAGTGTGACTGGAGCATCCCATCAACCTCAGAGCCTGACAGGCCAGGCTGTCAGTTTTGGGGTGAAGCTGCAAAATTCACAGCAATGTGGGCAGTGTCCTGCCCTGCCTGCCATGGTGCATTTCAGTGTCTGAGGCAGCTGCAGCTCACACATCACACAGAGCTGGTCTGGCTGCACCTCTCATCTCTGGAAAACACTATGCTGCTGAATTCTAAACGTGGCAAGGGAACACTCCTACTTCAAAACTGAATCTCCTTCCCTCTGACATAAAAGTGCTAAATCAGTATTTCAAACCCTGTGCTCCAGCTGGGAACCTCTCTTTGTATGTGTGGATAGAGCCCTGTTTCACACACCCAGTGCTGTTCCCTAAGCAGAAATTACTCATTTTTCTGCCGAGCACCCTGAGCTGAGCTTTATATCCCACACAGAGAACACAGCCACACTGAGATGTCTGTGTGCACATACCTCTTCTTTGGCAGTTTAACCTTTGCAATGTAACTCAGGCAGTAGTTGATGATATCTTGAAGGATGTCCTCACCCAGGTGGCCCTGAATGCTCTAACAAAACAAACACCATTCAACCAAGCATCGAGAATTTGAGATTCTAAAAGTAAGGCACATGGAAAACACAAACACTGGGTAAATCAGGCATGGTTAACACCACAGAGAAACAAACACTCCTTCAATCAGCAACATCAGCTGATGCTCACATGGTACTAACTAAAGGCCCTCATTTTTCTTTTTGTTCACTTTATAACACCAAGCTGTCCTTCAATATGATTCCTACTTGTACCTGCTTCAAAAGAAAACTGTGTGCCACAGGCAGCAGCCCTAAACAAAAAGCTGCATTTAATGTCTGTTATAGCCAAGCATGAAGAAATGGAGCTTGTTCCTACAGTAAACTGAAACTGCTGGTCAAGGCAGCAAATTCAGCCAGGATTTCATTTAAATGTTTACTCTCCGTTATGTATGTTAAACATTACATGCCAAATGAATGATCCATTAACAGGACTAACATACGAAAGCAGCAGAAATTTCGGTCTTTGGAAGGGTGATTACAAAGGACTACACTGTACAAATAAATCAAAACCCTGTTTAGAATTTTTTTTTCCACTATTGGAAATTTCATGCTTACCTGCTTGCTTAAGAACTTCCCATCTTTGTATGCTACCAGGCCGTTTTCTGGGAACACGTAGTCATATTTTTCAATCACTGCAAACAAGCAAAAAGACAGCAGCTCATCATTTCCCCTACATGCTTAAAGCAGAATTGTCTTAAATGTTAAATAGGTTAAAATACAGCAAACATTAGCTCCTAAAGCATGAAAGTTTCAGCAGCATAGCATCAAGCACAAGATTAATGCCAGTCCCATTTCTCACTATGATTAACACACACCTCAGATCACATAAAGTCATTTGTTTGACTTACATGTGGTTTTACTTAGAGGCATATGACTCTTTGCATTAAATGTAAAGAAATGACCAAACACCTCAAATACTGCACACACCTGGCACATGGCCTGGCTAGACAGCAAGTCAAATACTGGCCTTTGAGGTTTGTTTCCTCAATGTCACTGATCTTCAGCAGATGTCTGGGAGTTGTGAGTCTCAGCACAACACAAGACGATATGGTTTACTGGAGACCACTTGGAAGGCAAACAAACTCTGAGCTGTCAAGGCACTACAGGAGGCTGTCAGTGGCACCAATTAAGTAAAGACCATTAAGAATAAAGGCCTAAGGCAAGAGTCCATGGCTGCATCATAACCCCACCGTGAACAAAATCAGGGGCTCGAGGGATGTGCTCGACAGCTGAGCAGCCCCCATGTGTATATCACACACACGACTCCACTGTACACAGCAGTGAGGAAAAGCTCTCCCAAGGGTCTGTCACCAAGGCAGGATTTCACCATCAGTAACAATCACTTAATTTGACATCGAGATACCTGTACAGTGCAAACAGGCTGCGATTTCCAAATGCCGGTAAGTCGCTCCCCACAGCCTGAGTGCAACACACCAGCAGCGGGAAGACAACTAAAAGCGAGGGAAGAGGGGGATGAACGGGGCTCCGCTCAACCTCCACGGCTTCCCCTCGGGCCCCTGAGCGCGGATTGCATCAGCCCGGCCCTTACCGTCCTCGCCCAGCTGCTCGCGGATCTTGGCCAAGTCCGAGCCGCCCACCACTCCCACCTTCACCTTCTGCCGCAGCCGCTGCACGAACGCCGCCATCTCCGCCGAGATTTTCTGGGGTCCAAAACAGAGCCGTCAGATTTGCCAGAGGCCAGCGCCTCCATGCCGCAACAATCAGCGCGACCCCGCGGCACCGGGCGGGTCTTTAGGCGGCGTTAAATGTGTTAAGTGCGCCCGCGGCGTGCGGCACACACCGGGCCCCGCGGGCGGGCCGCGGGGTGCGATCCCGGCCGCGGTGTCCGATCCCGGCCGCCGGGTGCTATCCCTGCCGCTCCCCGCGGGCCCGCAGCCCCGTCCCGCACTCGCCTGCCGCGGGGCCGTGAGGGTGCCATCCACATCGAACAGGCAGAGCGCTGCGGGCGGCGGCGCCATGGCCGGGGCTGGCGGGGCCGCGCCTCCCGGCGGGCCGCGCGCGGGGCGGGCGCAGGCGCGGTGAGGCGGCTCGGCCATGGCGGCGGTGAGGGCCGGGGTGCCGGGTGGACTGTTCCCCATTCCCCTCCTTGTCCCCTTTCACCGTCTCCTGCCCTTTCCCGTTCCCCATCTCTGTCGCCATCCCGTCGCGGGTCCTTGCACTGACACGTGCCCGCGCGGGTCGCAGCATGGCGGGGACAGCGCGGAACTTCCCTTCCTCCTTTTCTCTTCAGTTCTGCGCGTTCCTCGTGCTCTCCTTCCCTTTATCGTGCTTAGTCCGCTTTTCTTTTCTGTTTCCCTAAAATCGCTGTTTAAGTGGTCATAACGAGTGGCCGGTTTCTCCAGGTAGAAGCAGCTTTCACTGAGCATTGCTCAGGGAGCGGCCGGGGTGTGTGAGGGTCGGTCACTGAGCTCACTGACAGCAGCCGGGTTAGCAGGGCTTTCCCTCTGCAGGGACAAACACTTTCCTGTCAGAACACTGCTTTAAGGTTTAAACACTGGTTTAAGGTTACAGTGAGCTGAGGCTTGGCGCCCGAGGGACCGGCTCTGAGCTCACTGATTGGGTTTTAAAGAGGACTCAAATGATGACCTGTGGGGATCTTACCTTACAGGCGTGGCTCTGCACAGCGAGGACTAAAGTCTGCACGGCACCAGCTTCTGCGAGATGTCTACGGAAGGAGCTCTGGACAAGGTCATGGAGAAGGGAAGACGCTCGCCTGCCCTGGATTTTTGGTTCGTGGGAGTGTTTGCAGTCACAAAGCCAGCGAGTTTGTGGTGTCAGTAATGACCTCAGGAGACTGCAAGAGCCGTCTGTGTGTCTGTACCACTCGGCCTCTGCTGCTGTGGTCCAGCAGAAGGCTGTGGACGGGAGGACAGAAGAGTTCAAACTGGTCTACAGGTTCCCAGGGATAAAATACTGCAGGGTCCTGTCAAGACTGAAGCTGCTGCAGACTGCCACCTCCATGGTCATGCTGCCTCCTATCTGCTACCTCTACCTGCAGGGCCAGGTGTCTCAGAATGTCCTCTTCTACACAACCGGCATCGCTGTCTTCGCTGGGGCAATGTTGTATGGTATGAGCTACTTTTTCAGAAGAATTATTGGATTAATCTACTTAAGCGAAACTGGACAAACTGTCAGAGTGGCCCACTTGACATTTTGGGGAAGACGTAATGATATTTACTGCCCCATAGAGACAGTGGTGACTTTGGATGAGGTTGGAGATAGCAAGGACGAGCTACTTCACCAGTTCAAACGGTCTAACAGTACAGATACTTTGTACTTTACAATTAAGTATGGCCAGATTGTAGACAAAGAGAAATTTACTCAAATATTTGGAGAACTTGTGTGACACAGCAGCTCATTTCCAGTGATTTTCCATGTTGCATGTTCATTGTGCTTATTGTTCCATGAGGCTTTAGTTTACCAAACTACACATCTCTGTCCTTTTCCTGTGGAAAGCCTGCTGTAAGTGCACCCAGTGTAGAAAGTCACAGTGGTGAAGCACAGCCCGCTGGATTAAAGGTCTTGCAGCTTGTGTACGGTGTGAGGAGTGTCTGTTCCATGTCAGATTCAGTAATATCACAGCATTCCAAGCCTGAACTGTCCTTTGAATGTGCCATGGGAGGCCAAATTACTGGGGCTGACCCTGGCTCTTTCAGTTGGCCTCTTTGGTTGTTATGAAGCATGAGAAAGCTCTTGAAATGAAATGCAGGACCTGCCAGAGCATCCCCACTTCAAACTCAGTGTTTCTTTTAGCTAATTTCAGGTTGGCTAGGAAGCCTCTGGAAATACAAGCTGGTCTGGTACATCCATGTGATGAGTACTGCTGAATCTCAGAGAGAGGCATGCTCACGTGTTCATGCAGTTGAGGGTGCTGGGAAGGTGTGTGGGCTGTCCTGGCCTCAGGAGGGCCCTCGAGGATGGAACTGGGCAAAACAAGGATGTGTGCTACAAAAGACACTGGCAGCTCAGCTGCCTAGTTAAAGGCTGGGACAATATTTCAGGAGCCTCTTGCAAAAATTTCCATTAATTATTCATGGCAACAGGAAAAGTAGCACCTGTCTCCATGAAGGATTGTGGTCTTATTCCATGGTACTGGTATGACTTCTTTTCCAAAACCTCAGTAGAAATGAGGACTTTAAACCCAAGAAAGAACCAAACCTATCATGTATAAAATGTAACACATTTTTTGAATTGTCAGAAACAAGATAACTCCTTACAACCCTCTTCCAGTTCTGACTTCATCTGAAACTGGCAAATAAACTGACTCTCACCACTAATCTGGAGTGTTCTTTCCCTATTTCTTCCTCATGTGAAGTGAAGCCTGTTTCTTGGCAGATCAGCAAAGGCAGTTAAGTAAAATTGCCATTTAAGTGCACAGGGTAACCCTGAATTACTTTCTCATATTGAATTTTCCCTACTGGGGTTCTGTGAGTTTAAATTTTGTCTGACACTGTGTAGCATGGTATTATCAAAAGAAATCCAAATGTTCCTTGGCGTAAACACCATGGCAGCAAAATACAGTGGGCTGTGCAGGTACACAGTTTTTTTGAGGTTTAGCTTCATCAGAATGTATTTAATATGCACTAATGGTTCAGTTTAGGCATGTACTGGGTGTCAAATGAAAAGCTCTGGTGAAGTTCAATTATAAATATTTTATTTAAGAATATTGATTACACGATTGATGTCATTTGTTATGAATCTGTGTACAGTTACTAGTTACACCATGAAGTGTACTTAAGTATTTGTTTAAACATTTATTTGGCACTGTCCACAGTATGCTGTAAACAATATTAACTTTATATGCTTCAGCTGCAGTGCTTTCTATGTATTCTCTAATGATTTCATCAACATGTTGTACACAATTATATAGTTACTGAGTGTCAGTAAAAATTATAAAAACACCTAGAGTAGTCATAATAAAAGTGAAGATGTGGTAAGACTTCAAATTACTGGACCTTTGCTTCTGTAAAAGTACAAGACTTGCTAGAGACATTCACTAAAACTACTGCACTGATATGTTGAACAAACTAATTCCCAAAATGCTGTCAAATCCAGTTCTTGGTTTGACTTTCCTTTTACTGATAATACACTTATGAGGACAGCGATGAGAATGAAGTTTTGTTGAACACCAATTTTAACTGGTCCTTTCCCCAGATTTCTACAACCTCTGTTCAAAAACCTGCTCAGGTTCTGCCCAGCTGGCACCAGAATTCTGCTTTCTGCAGAGGCTTACAGAAATCCCACTCGGTTTAAGCTGGCAGAAGTGATTGTGCTGGAGTTTCCCAATACCAGTACTTTAAAATGGGGAAACCATGATTAACACTTCTCAAAGCAGGTAAGGAACCTTTTCACATTTTGGTAGCTGTATTAAACATCTAAATCTTTTAACTTCTGTCTCTTATTATGTACTTAAAAACTCTGGTCAGGTCCTGAAAGGGCAACTGTAAATGTCCATTGTGGTCCCTGTTTTTTGGTGCACAACGAAAAGTTAAACTTAGTAAACAGTATCCAGATGCTCACCAGGGAAAAGAAAAATAAAGGCACCAGATCTAGTTCAAGTCAGCCTTCAGCAAACAGTAAAGAGACATCCAAAACAATTTTCTGAAGAGAAACAAATAAATGAACTCTTGACACATTTTTTGATCGTGTGGCTTTCTAGAAGATCTCTGACGTTATCGATGACTTAGAATATACTATTAGAACAAAAATAGATTACTTTGCATTATAAATGTGCAGTCAGGACTAGTCCTTCACTGTAGTGGCTCTGATACCAGAAAATGGCATTTCTGCTTTAGTTGTACAAAATACCTCAAGTATTTGTGTAGAAGTTACAATAGATAAGTTAATGGCTATTGTGTGTTCTGGGAAAATGGGAAAATAATCTGGAATCATTCTAGATTGCTGGCAGAAGTGGAAGAATGTGCTTTGCATGATTCTCAAGTAAGCTTTGTCAAATTACATACTTCAGGGTAGGGTTTTCTCTGTACAAGTCTGCTTGTAAGAGAAGTCAAAAGTTTTAAAACCCATCCATGATGAGGACAAAAGGACAATGGCTTCAGTGCCACTTGCAGCTCTGTAGGTGTGGCTGAGGGCACCAGTGAAGCAGTGAGTGCAGGCTGGGCAGAGCTGACAGTGCCCTGATGCAGTTGGTGTGGCAGATGCCTGTACTCGAAGGAATAAAGCTGGAAATTATTCTGTAAAATACTGTGCTTGGCAGTGGTGGAAAGCAGAGCTTTCCTTGAAACACTGATTTTATTCCAGCTGCCATTAGAGAACGGCACTCTGTGTGGCAGGTGTGTGGCTCTGAGCGTTTGGCCACACTTGTTGCTGCTTCTGGACGCAAATCTACCAGGGTCACCTGTGGAAACAGACTGTACCAGGCCCTGCTCAGACACTGGAGAGTCAGGGACATGTCTGTAGGGAGGACTCTGCAGTTAACATGGCCCAGGCCAGAAGAGGGAGGTTCTAGGGAATGCACCAGGCCACATTTTCTAGGGAATGCACAGTGAGGGACAGCTGCATGTACCTGCTGGTGACCAGTGCCAATGCTCTGCCTGGGGCGCGTGTGCATGGAGCAGCTTGCCTTGGGCAGGATTACAGACAGAACACAAACCTCAGTTTATGACTTTACACTTATCCTGTAAGTAGAGAAGACATGAATTAATGCAAACTAATTTCATAATCAGCTGTTCAGTGCGAGGGAGCTGCTTTTTACTTGAAGTTTGCTAAGATGTCACTGAAAATGTTCAGAAAGAGGTGCGCGTGGTGATCCTTGAAGATCAGTGTTGGACGAAAACGGATGGATCTGTCTCCACAGCCTCCCAGAACAACACCTGAAATGAGAACAGAATAGGTCCTCTAGTAATTTCTTTCTTTGTCAAATATCCTGAAAAATTCAGGTCTCTTAATGACAATACCCTCACTGTGGAAGGCCAACAGAAGCTCCCCAAATCCTGCTAGCCACACCATGATACAGCATTGTGGTGTGAATGGCCTCAAGCTTCACTGCAGCTTAGAAAAACACTGTGGGTGCCTGAAGCTGTTCTATAAAACACTTGGAGTATTGTATCTTGATAGCAATTACAAGAATCCATCCAGCACAGAGCTCAAACAGCATCTGAGATTTCAGAGCTGCAGTACTCTCCTGGTCAAGTATCTTGGGGCCAGAGGTTTCTTTGCATTGGTTTTTAAACGAATTAGTTTTTAATGACAAGAAGTTTAAATGTCTCAGTGCCTGGAAACCTCTCCCTGCAGTGCTTTAAATGCACTTTTTAGCCCACAATCAATTCTTAGAAATGTTTGAGCAGTGAGAACCCATATAATAACTAAGCTAAGCTTACCCTGCCTCAAAGCAGAGCCTTGGTTTCCCATGAAACAAACCATTTGCCTTCTCTTCCTGCTGGCTTAGCTCCCAAGAACAAAAAATTGTGTCTTTTACACTCTAAAATTTTGGTTTCACCACAGTTTAGATGCACCCCTGCCTGCCTCTTTCAAGGGACAGGAGTAACAGCAAAAACAGACAGCAGCAAACACAGGGCCCACACAGTCGAGTTCAAAGAGAATGTTAAGTGTGGATCCCAAGGTTCCCCTCTTGATACCTGGGGCCTGTCTGCAGCTGTTAACAGTTCTGTGGGAAAAGAGGGATGGCACTGTAGATCTGGGCCCATTTTAGGCACTTGTATTTCATCATTAGGTAATCCTAGGTATAGGAATTATGCGTTTATAAAACTCATTGTTTTTCTTCCCTGTGCTTTCCTGAGTGACATTAACTTTCTTCTAACTTTCCCATTTCTAGAAGCAAGCCACGTCCATGGGCACCTAAAGTCACTGAAGAGGACTCTAAACCTGATGTCACAAAATCTCATGCTCTACACAGATCTCTTCCAGTAACCTCAGACCTGCAGAGACTGGTAAATGTACACACCATGCAACAGACTGCTCTGAGGTCTCTGACAAGTATTTCCAGCAAAGTCTAAATCCAACCTTTTCATTTTAGTACTGTCCCCTGACACTGAAATACTCGTACATGATATGAAAAGGAAAATGTGAAGCACTACTTTCACACTGAATGCTGCTGTTTATCATGTGAAGCTCATCCACACACACACGGAGTTTCTTACCTTTGTTTCTGGCTATTGTAATTAACTTGTTTCTAGTTGCATCATTTGGAGTGTCAAATGAACAGAATGTTCCTCTTCCTCTCACTCTGCTGATGAGATGGGGGTAACGAGCCTGCAGAGAGAGGACAGACAAGCACATGGCAGGTGCTGCAACAGAGGGCAGCTGGTGGCAAGGCTGGCTGTGCCAGGTGGAAACCCTGCTGCCTCCTCACTCCGCTGGAGTGCAGCGTGGCTCACATGGCCTCGTGTCCTGCTCAGCCTGCAGAGCCCAACAAAGCAGGCAGGGAGAATGAAGCTGACCCAAGTAAAATATTCTTTGGAACAAACATTATTTACACACCTTATTTACATCTACACTGGACTCCAGGAAAACCTGAGCATAAACCATTGGCACTGGGGCTAGAAACCAGCTCATTCTTACCCTGCACTGAGACACTTGCCAGTAGCATCTGCACCCCTTGTTCTCAATCAAAATCCTTATCTTTTGGAAGAGCAATCTTTTGGACAGGACTAGTTGTATTCTGACCCTCCAAAGTATGAGATGGTAGTATTTTCTGTTCTCCTGCCTGCTATGTCTTAAAGGTGTGGAGAGAGCAGAGATTGTGTTTGGGATTCTTCTGTGCAAAATGCCCTTGGGAGGTGAGCACCTGCAAGCCTATCCTTAAATGCCTCTCTGTAGAGCCCCACAGAAGAAGCTGTAAGGAATTTCCCTTAAACAAGGGAGGGAAAGATACAATTTTCTTATTGCAACAGCCCAGCAGAATTGGAACAAAATACAAAAACACCTTCCTTTAAAAACAACTTTAGGACAAGGAAATACCAGCTGCTTACAGTAACAAAACCTTATAGCAAAGTAATTCAATTAACTGCAGTACATACCTTCAGACATTCTGGGGATCACCCTTTCTATTGGATTAAGCTATATAAACCTAGCATTTTTAAGTCAATAAAAGAAAGTTTACTTCAATTCCAAATGGGACACACAGTTATTCAGGCCTGTGTTGAAGTTATAATGGTCTATACTCCAGCTGGAGCTCCTCAGTCCAAGTGTTTAAACTGGATGAGGTCAGATCCTACTTCAGCAGCAAATTTCTCCTTCTTACCTACAATCCTCCCAGATGTTTACCTGCAAATCCAGCAGCCCAGTCAGTAG